CGTGTGCCACAATGCATGTATTCAGGCCCTCAGACTGTCCAGTGTCCCCTGCATTGGATACTTCTCCATTCACTATAATTAAGGCAATCTGAAGAAAGAGGCCAACGCTTGTTGATTGAGAGAACATCAACATGGGGTAGCTGAAAGAACTCTGCACCGAGTTACAGAAAACTTCGGTTTCAGAGGAGGCATCACTATTTAGTACAGCTGGGTGACCTCTTTGAGCTTCTGTTTATTCATTTGTAAACCACAGTTTCATGAACTACCCTATCTAGTTCACTGAGTTGCTGTGAATAGCAAATTAGCAAGTAGGTCAAAGCACATCATAAACTATAAAGCTCTATATAAATCTAAGCAAATGGCTTTAAAGAAAGGCCTATAGGGTGGCCTAAGAATATTTTCTGTCTCTATGTTGAGTCAGTTCCTTCATAAAATGGGAATATAGATTACTTAGCTCAGGGGGTTCCTCAAGTACATTAAAATTATAAAATCCTTTTCAAATGTTAAGTGCCATGTGATTATTGGTAATAAGATATTTGCTGAATATGGCCAACTACATGAATGAAGCTGCACATGACAATCTCTAAAAAGTTGAATGCATTGTTGGCTTTCCTCAGGCAATGCGTAATTGAATGTAGCTAGTTTGGGAAAAGTTCTGTCATGTCTTCATTTTTTTTCTCTTCTGTTTTAAGATGTTTGTAAACTTACAATGGATTAATAATACAGTTCTGTAATGAACCCAGGCTTCTCTGCTCCTATCAGCAGTGATGCAACAACAGGGAAGTGACAGTGGTTAACCCAGGAGGTGACTTATGGAAAAGAGGAATGCTTCATCCTGGCCATGATTCATCAATTCAGGATCAGGGCTAACAATTCTTCCAACTACCTACTTTTATGCAGAAGTAATCACTTCTTGATTACTGTTGTTCTATTTTCCTGGATCATCAAACTATACATGATTTGAAGAATAACAAATTATCAATTGTGTTACTTTGAAACAGTACTGGATAAAAACTCTCTAACATACCAGGGGGACCCAAAAAACCCGTAATTTATTCATAAAAAATTGTGTATTTATTCTTACATGTTTAAACTCCAATCACCTTCAAAGTACTCTTTGTTTGATGCAATAAACCTATCACCTGAGATGATTTTTCCACTGCTTAAAACAGTTTTCAAACTTAATAATTTTGATGCCTTTTAGTGCTTCTGCCATTTTTTGTTTCACCTTTCCCACACTGGCAAAACGTTTCCCTTTGAGGACATTTTTTCATGAGGAGAAACAAAAAAAGTCACTCAGGTGAGATTGGGTAAATAGGGAGGGTGGGTCATGGTGTTCATGCTATTTTTGGTAAAAAACTGCTGAACACTCAGCGTGGTGTGGGCAGGTGTGCTCATAAAACACCCATCACAAAATGGGCAAACATGTTGAAAGAATCCTCCCTTCCCTCCCAAAAAAATTCACTAAACCCGAACACAGTCTCTCACAACAACACTAGCTGGCACACTGATGCCTATGGGTTCCTAGAATACTTACCTAAAGAGGAAGCCTGTATTACAAAGGGCCCATCCTCCCAAAAATAGTTATGGGGTTTTTTGCCCCTCCCCCATATACTGTTCTATAAGATTCTTCATTTTGAGCTCTCATCAAACCACAAGTAACCTAACAAACACAACAAATCAAGTTTCTTTCACCAGCCTATTTCTTGCAGATTAGTGAGGCGATAAGTTGAATGATGGCAACTTGAAAGACTTAAAAGGCTTTAAATTTAAGTACATTCTGGGTAAGATTATGGGTGATACTCTCCCCTCTCTGTTTTTGAAACGCCAAATGACTTATTGTAAAAAATTGTATGTTAGCATAAAATCACCCAGCCATAAAAAAAATTTTCCCTAATAACATAAGAAAATAATTCTGATAGTCACATTTGTTCATGAAAGCCATTACGGGGTCGCTTGGCATCTTTCAAGGAAATGCTGTGGGAGTCAAACTCACTACAGGTTGGACATCCCTAATCCAAATATCTGAAATTTGAAATGCTCCAAAATGTGAAACTTCTTCAGTGCCACAAACATGATGCCACAAATTTTGTTCCACGTACAAATTAAAAATATTGTATAAAACTATCTTCAGACTATAAATATAAGGTGTATACAAAACATAAAATTTTATGTTTAGAATTGGGTCCTATCCCCAAAATTTCTCATTAAGTATATGCAAATATTCCAACATTTGAAAAAATCAAAAATTCAAAACCCTTCTGGACTCAAGCATTTGGATAAAGGATACTCAGGCTGAAGTAGGATTTAAGTATTTCCAAATAAAGAAAATGTTAGCCAGAACCATTGAAAAAGATGATTACTTAAAGCTTTAACTAATAAAAAAGTAAACTGACTAGAAATAAAATCCAAAGTTATTAATCTTTAGACAGAAAATTACAAAATAAAAGTGAGTTTTTAAGTAGCTATTTATTAGCACCTTCTAAAGGTTAAATCTTTTAAACATAAAGAATATGAAAATGGAGTGAACAGCCGGGCTCGGTGCTCAGCCTGTAATGCTGCGCCTTTGGGAGGCTGAGGTGAGTGGATTGCCTGAGCCCGCGGGGTTCGAGACCCGCCTGGGCAGCGAGACCTCATCTCTACAATAAATAAAAAAATCAGCCGGGCATGGTAGCGCATGCCTGTAATTCCAGCTACTTGGAAGGCTGAGGCGGAAGGATCGCCAGAGCCCAGCAGGTTGAGGCTGCGGTGGCCAGGAGCAACAACTGCACTCCAGTCTGGGTGACAGAGTGAGACTCCAACTCCAAAAAAAAAAAGAAAAGAAAAGAAAATGGAGTGATTACACAGCATAATGAGTAAGAGTGTGGGCTATGGAGTCAGATTATCTGGGTTCAAATCTCAGTTTCTACCACTCATTATATCTGTGAATTCAGACAAGTCATTTAACCTCTGTAAACCTTCCTCACTGAAAGACAAGGAGAATAATTTCAGGGTTATTTAGGGATTAGGTGAGATGATTCATAATTTTCTTTCTTATGCCATATAAATTCATCACATAGCAAAAATGTAGTGAAGACAGCAAACAAGCACGTGTGGCCCAGCATGGGCACACTGCAGGTGCATCATGGTCCCAATACATACAGCAATCCATGTTGCCACCTCAGGACTGATTTTGAAGAAAGAGGTAACTTTTTTCCTAACACTATGATATAAGCTTTAAAAATATATACTTTCTTTTTTTTTTTTTAAAGAGACAAGGTATCTGTCTTCCTCAGGCTGGACTCCCTGGGCTCGGGTGATGCTCACGAGTAGATAAGACTACAGGTACGCACCATCACGTTCAACTAAAATATATACCTTTAATATTTCTATAAACCAAATTAACATTTTCTACAACCTAGCCTTCATAGACAAGGCGATTTTAACTAAAGTAAACACATTAAAACTGGTCATTTGGAAGATAATTAAAACTGTATGATAATTGTAGTGATGTACAATTGTTCCAAAAATTCTATCTGGGAAAGAACAAATCTGCCACAAATAAATTCCTTAACAATAATCAATTTTCTTTACAAATTTAATGCCTATCTATAATGCTGTAAATGTCTATAGGATTATTTCTAGATATGTGTCCAACATCCCATGAACTTGTTCATCTGACTCAGACCCAAAATGTCTACTTAAAAAAACATTATTGTGATGTGTGGATAAATTATTATTATTTTTTTTTAGTTGGAGTCTCACTCTGTCGCCCAGACTGGAGTGCAGTGGCCACTCCTGGCCACGGCAGCCTCGATTTGCTGGGCTCCGGCGATCCTTCCACCTCAGCCTTCCAAGTAGCTGGACTACAGGCGCATGCTACCACGTCCGGCTAATTTTTGATTTATTGTAGAGATGAGGTCTCACTGCCCAGGTGGGTCTCGAACCCGCGGGCTCAGGTAATCCACTCACCTCAGCCTCCCAAAGGCGTGGGATTACAGGCTGAGTCACCGAGCCCGGCTTGGATAAATTATTTCACTTTTTATTTCAGACTGACAGCAGTAACTGATTAAATCATTAGGTCTAAAATACTTCAGATCTGTTTACATTCGTATAAAAGTGACCTAAATTATAACAAGAAAATGTAAAAATGAGTTATAGTTGAAAAATTTAGTAGAGAAGGAATAAGGAAATCACCCAGTAGAAACTGTGATAGGATTTTGATACTCATAAACTTTTAGTAATTTACACTCGGTTATCTAGTGACAATATTTTTCTCTTATGCTGTCTCAGTCTGAATCACTTCATAGCACTTATTCAAAATTAAACAATGATAAACTTGGATACAAACATGTTAGAAATGTATTTACTTATATGCATACTGCCACCCTATGTTAATTTTAAGGAGATGTGGACATTAAACAAACATTACTTGAAAACACCTACATAAGTAACATTCACATATGAGAGATATTTGGTGGACTAGTAATTAAGATAAGTCCAGGTTACAAATCATAGCAGGATCCCCAAGATAAGTTTATGCACTTTCACTTACTTCACCTGGAATTTAACTTCAGTTGGAAAAAAGGTAATAACATTGAATGTAAAATTTGGGGTACATTTAGTTTTCAGCTAAATTTAGTATTTCTTCCCATTATCTGTCTATATTGAGCACTAAGTAAAATCTGTTAAAAATATAGCTAATATGCTAATATAAACAAAGTTTTACAAGATCAAATGAAATGCATTTTAATACCTAGTGTTGAAGAGATATTCCTCTTTTAACCTACTTGATTCATTTACTGGAATTTCCTGGGAATCATCAGATTTAGTATCAACAGACCTACACATAATATCATAAATAGTAACTTCCTAATTCATTAATTTCTATATAAGTCAAATCAATTCCTGTGCTGTAAATGAACCAAAGCTGTACTACTTAAAAAAAAAAAAAATGACAGTGCTATATACTAGGGGTGTAACTCCTTATAAAGCAAGCACAAATGGGTCATCAAACTTACTTTTCCAAAGAAGCCTTTGAAGAACTTCCTTTCCTGGAGGAACAGGGGGACAAGTCGAGTGCTATTATTGCATGGCCTAAATGTCCCAGGGTTTCACACCAATAAGCACATACAGAAGTTGGGGAAAGGGAAGAGTAGGAGAAGGGGAGGGAGTGAGAGTTTTAAAGAGTTATTTACACCAGGAGTGAGGGAAAAAGAAAGGTGCATAGAGATGCGGGAAACACACTGCATGACTAAGCATCCATAAAGGGCGAGAAGATGCCTGTGTTCATGCAGAGCAACCAGTTAGTTTAGTAATAACGATTTACTTTTAAAACAGAGATTTTCCAAATTTGGCAGCAGAGAAAAAGATATGACGTGCTGGTTTACTGAGATTTACATTTTTAATTTCATAACAGTGAGTAGAAAACAGAAGACTGGTTCCATATACATTTTTCAGTTTAAAGTCAGTGGTCAACTGTGTGGAAGTCATCAATTAAAAAACCAGTCCATATTCAAATGGCTATATAATCACATGAAAAAAATGCAATGCACAAATTTAAATGAAAATGCATAAAGGGTCCTTGTCACATTTTTTCTTACTGTAACTTTTCTTACATAACTTAGAGATGCCATATTATTTAAGGGGAGCTTGACACCAGTGTCTGTCTGTTTATGTGTGTGTGCTATCAGTTCTACAACATACATGAGGAAATAACAGATATGTTCTATTCCAGACACAGAATAAAGTATCTACAAACAATACAAGGCTAATGTTTACATTGGAACTAAGAAGACATTATCATAAGAAACAATATCTATGAGCCACAACTGAAACTTAAGAAATAGGGTTTTGTTTTCTTTTCTATGCACCATTTATTTACAAAAACTGGCCACCATTTAAAATCTGTAGAACTTATGTAAAGTAGATGGGTTCTAACTTACCCAAGCTAGCTTAACTTTATATTTCCTAGCTGTGGTTGAAATATACTATAAGCCCTCACTTTTTATAACCATTTAAAAAAATATTCGTTTTTTGGGTTTTTTTTTTTTGGGTCGGAGTCTCACTCTGTCGCCCAGACTGGAGTGCAGTGGCCGCTCCCGGCCACCGCAGCCTCGACCTA